TCGTCTGGATGACCAGGTCGCAGAATCTCTCGTTGGTGACCGCTTGTCGAGCACCAATGTGGGAGTGCGAGGAGACTCATTCCGAGAGGGCGCCTGAAGGGCAGTGGTTAGACGCGCAGCCTCATCCTCTGTTCGCCCCGGACGGGGACAGCTTTCTACTGCTGGCCGCCGTTCAAGAGGGCGACAAGGAACACTTCACCCACATCAAGCACGTGACGTTGACCCAACAGAGGATAGCAGTGTTGTCTCACGGCCGTTACGAGGTTAGATCGAGAACCAATTTTACGAATTTGCATTTCCATTACATTATTGTTCCTCGTCTTCCGCGAAGGTGAGTGAAATCTTAGCGTGGGACACCAAGGCCCATTTGGTGTATTATTTGGGCACGAGGGAAAGGAGGCCCGGTCAGAGACATCTTTACATAGTTCGCGATCCCACCGCTGACGATCCTCGACACCTCGAGCCCTTGTGCGTCACGTGCGACCTTGGCGAAGTGCTGTGGAGCAGTAGGTGAGCGATCTCTTCACTTGGATCTCTCGTCGATTATTTGTAACAATTATACAATATATAATCGTTACAGATTTTATTACACCAATTGCACCCACTTTGGCGCGTCCGTAAGCCCCCCGATGGAGAACGAATCATCCGGCTACTACGTCCTCTACTGCGAAGGTCCGGGCCTCCCTCTGGCCGCTGTACACCTGATCACCACCCACAAGATGATCCGCGTGTTGTACGACACGAGGATCCAAAGAGGGGACAAGCTTTCGCAACTGGCGCTGCCAACTCGAAGAAGCTTCGAGGTTGTACGCCACGTAATTTGTCATCGAACCCGTTTCCAATTTTTAAAATCCCCGACTGATTGTTCCCTCGTCTTCAGGTGTCTCTACCCCAAGGATGGAAGGCTCAGGTGCAACTGTTATTGCCACCTTCGTGGCGAGAGGAGCTGAGAGACGCCGCGTTCCCCGTCCTGGTGGAAGTGAACGGTCGGCCAGGTAGCGAGGCGGTGACCGACCGGTTCAAGATCGATTGGGGGACGTACATGTCGAGCCACAACGACGTGGTCTACGTAAGGCTGGACGTGCGCGGAGCAAGAGGCCAAGGGAAACGCGATCTGTTCAGAAGAATCGGCGGTGTCGAAGTTCAGGATCAGTTGACCGTGTTGAAGCATCTTCTCAAGACTCTCAAGTACCTGGACGTGACCAGGGTGGGTGTGTGGGGTTGGGGATACGGCGGCTACGTGACCGCCATGGTGTTGGGTAGCCAGGAGAACGTGTTCAAGTGTGGCGTCGCTGTGAATCCTATCGCCGATTGGCTCTACTACAGTGAGTTGCCGAAAAACATAATTTCCTTGGACTATATACTGTATCGAGGTTGTTTACACTGCTGGATGAGAGTCCCCCCTGATCTTTTCGTGCAGATTCCGCGTTCACGGAGCGAGTCCTTGGCGCTCCCGCAGAGAACTACAAAGGTTACGTGGAGGCTGACCTGACCCAACGCGCCAGGTTGGTGCCCAGTCACAGTCTCTACCTTCTTCACGGTCTAGCCGACCTCACAGCGCCTTATACGCACGGTGTCGCCTTCGCTAAGGCTCTGACCGAAGCGGGTATCATCTTCAGGTACCAGGTACGTGATCCTGTAAGTCTCTTCTATCAGAAATGCGTATGTATATCTATTTGTTCTTCGTCGATTCTGCTAGATTCTACGCATCTCTGGCGCGTGACCGAGTCGAATCGATAAAGTTCGTAACTTTGAATCGTGTCTAATTGTACAGAGTTACGCGGACGAAGACCACGCCTTGGCAGGCGTGTTGGAACACGCTTATCGTTCCATAGAGGACTTCCTCGCAGAGTGCCTCGCCCTGGACGCGTCCTAGTGCCTCAAGCCGAACGCTCCCTCGTTGTCTCTAGCTCGCCTACTTCTGATACATCCCAGACGGATGTGGATGCTCGTCAAGAAGGCTCTCGTCGTTCAGGATTAGACTGTAGCTCGAATATATAGAAGAAGAAGAAGAAGAAGAGAAAAGTAATAATAATAATAATAATAACCGGACGTAACCCGAGACCCGGTCCTGGAAAGCGTGAACGAACCGATTAAAAAGGGGGGGGAAAATAATGCTAGTCCCTGAGTCAGAGCCAGGGGATGAGGCGTGAACTTAGCGTTTGTATAATAAGTAAACGTAAACCGTTTAATAAGTAACCGTTGTATATCAGCCACCTGCATCAGCCTGCGGATTCCTCTTTGCTACCGACAAAACTTTCACTTTTGCTCTCTCTCTCTCTCTCTGAAAGCGGACATACAAACATAATTTCTAGTCTACGATCTCTCCCCTATATCCCGATGGCCATCCATCCAGATGGCGCCACTAGCTAGCTATTAATGGCGCGACTCGATCGCGGCCGGACACCATCTTTGCCTCCCCATCCTCGCCTCGACCTCGATCGAGGTCTCGCGAAGAATCGGTGAACGGTGTCGTCGTGCCTCTCGCAAGCTTGCAAGCTCTAACTCATTTTTTATACACAGCGAAACCTTCGAAGGTGTCGACATCTCAGCGAATCCGGGCGTATCGAGCTTAGCGCGAGCTTGCAAGTTCGCGTTTTTTATATCGACACGTACACGCATGCACACACACGCGCGCATACATACACACGTGCATTCTGCTCGAGACATTGGCGCCGTTTGTATATCGCTCCGCTTTCCGAGGATGTCGAGTAGCTTGTGTCGATAAGCTTGCAAGCCCATCAATCGCCTTCTTCATCGAGGACCGTCTCTGCGAACGAGTCGCCTTTAGAATACGGACACATCGTGCAGAGCTTGCAAGCTCGCGCTTCGCGACGTTTCTCCCTCTTCGATTACGCCGCGCATCGGTCTCTACCATGATCCCCTTTTGTCGTGGAAACTCTGGCTATCTCCTGTACCGACGTGACACACGCATATACACACACACATACACATTATTTCCTTGGTAGAAACGAACGCCTAGTCTTAAGTTTTGTGTTGTGTACAGCTTCGCGCCTAGTATCATGTAATGTTACACGTGAAGGGGAGATAAAAAAGAAAAAAATAGGAGAAGGAAAGAAGGGAAGGAAAATGGTATTTCCCTTCCATCATTATCCGTCTATATATATATATACGTACATAAATACACGCACACACCAACACACGAATTCTTTCTACCGTTTGATTCTTCGATATTTGTATATATCCGTGTCTCTTTGAAACGAGTCCCTTGGTGCAGGAAAACGTTCCCCTCCTCGACGAGGTTCGAGCGTGTTTCCCGTTTGTCGTTGATCGTTTGTTGTATTATATATCGCTAAGTTGTACTATAACACAATACAGTTTTCAGATTAAATAACTATTAATTAAGTAAGTTAAGCGCGACGCGAAGCTTTAGGATAACCTCGTTCAGGTTTCACCTCGTATACTTTTAGCTCGTTCGAAAGGAAAGGGACCTCGTCGTCGAGGGCAACGTGTATTCCTTTATCGTATTCCTTTCTCTCGATCACAAAAACATCGATCCTGGGGAGCGGCCTGAAGAGGATCTTAGGAATTCGAAGTCGATCGAAGATCCTAAGTATAGATCGTATGGAAAATTCTAGAAAATCGAAGAATCTAAAAAAACGAAATGGAAACGAAAAACGCGTGGAGGATCGATCGATAAACTTCGAGTCGTCGATTGATCAATGATTTATTCGAGGAAAACTCCTTCAGGCCACTCTAGATCGACGTGGTGGAAGATCGATGTTCGTTCAGACGCGGTTGATGTTGGAGGATAATCGTTCGGGATCGATCGATCTTGCGGGACTCCCGTTTCCACCGATATATTCTTCGACCCTTCTCGTCGCACGAAATCGATCCACCGTTAACATAATTGTATCTCTATGTGTCTTTTCAAATTTGTACCGTGAATCGATTCGAACTTGTTCCGAATTATTCCTATCATAACTCTGGATCGAATTCGGGTCATCGAGAAGGTGTGACAAGTTTTTCGATGTTGCTCGTAAGTTCGATCGAAACAGGACAATTTTCGCGGTTGATAAAGAGAGAACTTATAAGAGGAAAAAAAAAAAAAAATAATAATAATCGAACAAACTATATCGCGCTCGAACGAAGAGAGTCGCACGTCGCCATAAACGCTGCCTGCCAAGCAGCCCTTAAATGCCGACAATCAAGGCTAGTGCAACTAATCAAACGATAATAAATAGAGAAAAAAAAAAAACGGAGAGGATGAAGAAATTTACCTAATAATAATTAATGAATTCTTAGAGATGAGTGATCGATGATGGTTCGTCCACGTGATTGATTGGCGTGGCTGAGGACCTCGGCGGTGGGTCGAAGGGATTGAATTAGAAGAGATACCCTTCGATCGTGTACGGATAGTAGACGTGGCAAATCGATTAGATCGAAATTACGTGCTTGATGTCGATCGTAGAGAGTACAAAAAAAAGTGAAACCGCGCCCGATCAAGGAATCTTTCCTCGGGTATTCGAGAAAGAATAAATTCGAAGCGTTTTTCCTCGAGAAGTGAATTAAATTGGAAATTAATGGAAATTATAGAAGAAAAATTTGATATAAGCAGCCTTTTGTCGATTCAATTTGTTTTGTTTTATATCGAGATATATATATTAAAACGTGAAAGACTTAGAATCGTAAATAATTGTTCTTGTAAAAATTAAAATAATGTTTCTTACTCTCTCAAGTTTTTCCACTGTGATTTTCATGATAAATGGCATTGAATAAGGATAAAAAGGAAATTGAAATTCTTCTCGAGGGGTTCCTTGGTCGCGCGACAAGGACAGACACGCATTAGTGTTAAACCACATTGTAAAAGTTCATTTTTTCGTGAGTAATCTTCCTTGAAGGGAACGTGAAGGAAGAGAGGGATGAACGGAAGAAAGAGAGTAGAAGCGAGAATGAGTGAGAGTGAGTGAGAGTGTGCAAATCGCAATCAATTATTAACTTATAATAAACGGCAAAAAGTGCGGCGAAAAACATTAAACGTAGGCGTAAGTATCGGTCTCACGAACACGGCAGGCACGCAATAAAAATAAAGAGAAATAATAATACAATTGCAAACGGAACAACTGCAAAACGGACGGTGTAATAATATGGATAAGTGTAAGAAGGAATTGTAGGCATGCGATTGGAACTAAAGTGGAATTAAAGTCGTAAGAAAACTAAAAAAAATAAATAAAAATGAAAACCTTGGTAGCAGCGCATAAGGGTATCTATAAGCTTTTGGTAACGTATTATCGCCGCTAGGCTAAAGAGAATTAAATTAAAAATAAAAAAAAGAAAAAATATATATATATATTATACAATAAAGAGGAAAAAAAAATAAATAAATGCGACACACAGAGAAAGAGAAGACACACACGCAGGACATCGTAAATTATTGCAATTGACGCGGAAGACTCGAGTTTAATGTATCGGGCCCGTGCGAAAATTTCGGACGAATTTCGGCGAATTATTTATGTCGATTAATGATTCGCATGTCCGACCACGCGAAATCGCCCGTCGACGTTCAACGATTTCGAGATGACGATGGAAAAAAATAGAAAAAAATAAAAGTAAAATAAGAAGAAATCGCGAGCGTTTGTGTTATTCGTAACGGAGAAAATTAATCGATAATAATTAATAAGGCGACTAATTGAAATTATTTGGATAATCTGTGATATCTCAGATTGACGATTATTATTCGAATTAGACGTTGTTTTTAACGTCTACTCGAATATCGAGGTATTAATAGATAAGATATTATCGATAAACGAAATTTTGTTCGAGTAAAAGGCCCTTCGAACCGAGTCCGAGTCTTTCGACGATAATCGATGTTAATTTAATAAATGGTAAAAGCGATGCTCAAACGATTTCTTCAAGATTCTTGAAATTGTTCTTACTAAATTGTTATTCTAAATGTATTGGCTAGTTTCTAGTTCGTCGAAAATACGATCTCTTCCTTGTATATTTCTCAATGTTTCTCAATTGTGCGTTTTAAAACTCTTTTAAAGACGAACGTTTTTTAAAAAGCATTCCTCGTATGGAATATAATATATCAGAAAACGTGATTAAATTCGAACGTGAATTTAACGTTAACGGATTAAGAAAAAATTGAAACGATATTATTGTATTCACTTAATTTCCTTCGTATATATCTTCGAACTCTCGTTTACGACAATACCGACTGCGCAACTTTTTCACCTAACCTATATTTTTAACTCTTGAATCGATATTCAAATATCAAATTATCCTTTTCATACGATAATTATACCATTAATACCGTTCGAATATTTGCATCTTTAACGAACATTTTCAAACCTAAACGAACCTTCAATTCTTATATAAAATATTCGTATGAATTACGAATATAAAATAAAATATCGTGTTAATTAAAAAATCAAATTTAGAGAAACTTATTAACCATAAGGATTATTTTTCCACGATCAATGAAATCGATCGACGAAATTGGCTGACTTTCAGATATACTTCCGATACTCGATATATGTCAAATGTGTGTGAAAGGAAGTAATCAATCGTATCGATGTTCGCATTGTTCGACGATCTCGGACCCGGTTAGCCCGGCCTTTACTCAATCACGTTATATTACGTATATCAGACTCCTCGATGCGGACAGCATCTCGAAACTACGTCTGAATGATCAGAGATACGGTTCAATCGATCAGTACACTCGGAAGCGTTGAGTCGAAATATCTGGCCAACGACTCGTTGAATTCGATCGTGCTCCGCGAGTGTGGCCGACGCGATCGGACAATTGTTTTTTATATAATATCCGCTCGGATCATCAAGCGAGCGTTAATTAACCGTTCGAGATAAGAGAAGTGCGTTCTCGATATGTTTCTCGTGGGAGACGAGGGCACGCGGATTGTGTTTCCACACGGTTTTTTACGATATTCGCACGGACCTGGAGACCGAACATCCACGAAATCGGCCAAAGTATATCCACTCCGTAAAACACTGTTTTCATAGACGCGAATTATCGTGATAACACGTTCGAACGATCGAATCGGGTTGAAAAGTTAATTTTATTTTTTGTAAAGCTTTTTGTAAATCGTTAAAGTTTAACGTTCGATGTTGAGAAATTTTGGAAATCATAAGTTTTAATAATTCTTCCGATCTGTCACGATGCGTTGTACATTATACACAGGGGAAAAATCGTTCAACGTGTTAAAGATTAATTTTTT